ATAAATAAACAATATAAAATAAAATAATATATATATATATACACAGTATGTGTATAATGCTAATATTTTATAAATATTTAATTGGAAACTGGGAAATGGAAGACAATAAAAAGAAATATGCTGGAAAACTGGAAAAATGGAAAAAAATAAAAAAATCTATTCAAATTTCCTCAAATATTTGAAAAAAATGCTATGATTAGAATGTTTACTAAATGCTGGGTTTATTATGTTGGCAAGGCTGCGAAGTTGTTACAATTGGGATATACCAAAACTGTTAAATCAACCAATAAAACAGCCTCAAAACAGCTGCTTATCTGCAAATAGACGATATGTGACCCTGGACCGCAAAACCAGTCACAAGGGGCAATTTTTTGAAATTGATATCATCTGAAAAATGAATAAATATGCTTTCCATTGATGTATGGTTTGTTAGGATAGGACCATATTTGGCTGAGATACAACTATTTTTGTTATTTTGTAAGTTTTTATATATTTAGAGCAGGAATTTTACAAAATATCTTCATGGAACATGATCTTTATTTAATATCCTAATGATTTTTGACATAAAAGAAAAATTGCTAATTTTGACCCATACAATGTACAGTATTGTTGTCTATTGCAACAAATAGGCTATACCTGTGCAACTTATGACTGGTTTTGTGATCCAGGGTCACATATATCCTGCATTGAAGGAGGGAAGGAAGGAAATTCACCACTAGGAACCTCAACAGCTTGCGTTTCACCTCCAAAACCTCACGATTTCACATTGAACTCTGCATTGAATGTCAACAACAGCGAATAAACAGTTTATGTGTTTCTTTTTTTAGCTTACAAGCTGCAAAAACTGTGGTTTTTCTGTGGTGCAGGAGGAGAAATTAATTGAAATGCTACTCGGAATATAACTATATCGGTCAACCACCAGTTGAAATTACAATTGCAATTTTGTATTGATATACAGCCTATCCTGCACATTTTTAAATACCTCTCTCTCTCTCACTTTTTGCAGACCCACTGTTCCCCCCTAGAGAGCAGCGAGCCAGGCGCTCAGTGACAGATGGCACAGCCTCCTCTACCCCCCTTCTTTACACACACCGGCCTATCGCCTGCCCCCTGTACTGCAAATAAAAAGTTACAAAGAGCAGCATTTGTTCAAAATATACATATTTTTTAACAATATACACTACCGTTCAAAAGTTTGGGGTCATTAATTACATTTTTTTTCTTTCAGAAATGAAGTGTTAAATTGATAAAAAGAGATAATAAAGACTCATATTGTTAAAAAGAGTTCTATTTTAAATAAATGCTGTTCTTTTTAATTTTATTCATCAAATAAGCCTGAAAAAAAAAGTATCACAGGTTCCCAAAAAACTATTATGCAGCACAACTGTTTCCAGCTCTGATAATAAAGCATCATATTAAAATGATTTCTGAAGGATCATGTGACACTGAAAGACTGGAGTAATGCTGCTGAAAATTCAGCTTTGCATCACAGGAATAAATTACATTTTAAAACATATTCTAATAGAAAGCAGCTATTTTAAACTGTAATAATATTTCACAATATTACTGATTTTACTGTATTTTTGGGCAAAGGAATGCAGCCTTGGTAAGCATAAAATACTTTTTTCAGAAAGAAGAAAAAAAAAAGTCTTACCATATCTTAACTCCTTAAAAATATCACTAGATTATGTAAGAAAATCAGTTATGAACAGCACTTCATGTTTACCTTAAATTACGTTCATAAATTGTGCCATATGGATGATGCTTCAAATAAAACCTACAATTGGACAGGCGAAAATATCCTGCACTGCAGGAGGGAAGGAAGGAAATTTACCATTAGGAACCTCAACAGCTTGTGTTTCACCTCCAAAATGTCACGATTTCACGAACTCTGCACTCGACGTCAACGAGAGCGTACAAATAAACAATTTATATGTTTCTTTTTCAGTTTACAAGCTGCAGAAACGGTGGTTTTTCTGTGGTGCAGGAGGAGAAATTAATTGAAATGCTACTCGGAATATGAAAGTGCCACCAAATAGATAAAGCCTGGCACTCACATCCTGTATGGATGTGTGCCCAGAGAGGGGGACGGCATGGCGCCGATCCAGTACCCATCCCCCAATAAACAGCACACACACACACAGACACTCATTTACACCACAGCCGTACACGCGGCCACATGAGTAATCAGGTACACACACTCACACACACATGCGACGGTTCTCTTTAACCCCCTCAAACTACTGTTAACGGCTTTGAAAGCCCAGGGGACGAGCGCTGCGCCTCCCATCTCCATGGCTCTTGTTGAGGGTAGAGCTGGGCCAAGCCTGGAGCCCCATGGCTGCGGAAGCCAAACCCGTGGCCTGTGCCAGATCTCTAGCGTGTGCAGCGGCCAGTGCTGCTGCAGTCTACCTCCGCTACGGATGAGGATTCCTGCACTGATGGACGCGCCAATTAATCCGACACGCCACGGAAGATAACCATACGGCAAAACGCCTCCCACCACACACCGTCCAGGGCCCCGAGGTCCTTCAGCCAGGCAGGGGGCGAGAGGGACAGACACAAACACAGTCCATTTACTAACATTAGTTAACTATATTTGAACTAATTGTGAAAATACTTTATTTATTAATCTTAAAATCAAAAGTTGTATCTGTTAATATTATTTAATGTGCATAAGCTAACATTAGGGCCCTATAAAATCTATTCAGTTTTGTTTGTTTATTTATTTACTTCCTATTATATTATATTATATTATATTATATTATATTATATTATATTATATTATTGTCTTTTAAAATGTAAACCAAATGCAATTATCAATCAAATGAAATTATGAAATCTGGTTTATTTTTCCCAAACTCAGTTTTATTTTTTTCCCAAATTCTGTGTTTTCAGGTTCAGTTTTTGATTTGATTTAATACAAATGTATTATTTAAAACTGTTGTAATTAAATGAGCGCATAAAACTTTATTGATTTAACTGATATTTTAAATGTAATCAAATGAAATTATGCAATCTCTTTTTTTTCCCCCAAATTCAATTTAATTTTTTCCCAAATTATGTTTTCAGTTTAATTTTTTTCTGAATTCTGTTATGATTTAATACAAATTCAAATAAAAACAAAAACGGTGATAATCACATGAATCCATAAAACTTTAAAAATGTCATTGATCTTTTAAAAAATGTAATCAAATAAAATTGTCTATGATTGTGTGATAGTCCTCAACAAATAATGTTTTAATAACTATATTATTGTTGTTATTACTTTTAGAAGTACATTCTACTCTACAATACATTTCTGTCATAATTTCTTCAAATTAAGCCAAACTTATATTTTGGCAGGTTGTGGTAAAACTTTGAGTTTTAGTTCATGCATTAACTAACAGAAACTTACTGTAAAGTGTTACCCAGTTTGTCATCCTACTTAGTTCAGAAATCATAAATTGTACTTCAATCAGAATGCATTTCATAATTTTTTTCTTTGCCATTTTACATTCTAAAAAGACAAGAGACAAGACAAAAAAATCATTCGTATATTGTTTTGGCCTGTTATAAACTATAGAAAAAATATTATTATTATTATTATTATCATTTAAAAATATATATATATTTATTTCATACACTATCATTCAAAAGTCAGTCAAATATTTTTTGTACAAGAAATTAATTCAACAAGGATGCATTAAATTGATGACAGTAAAGACATTTATAATGCTACAAAAGCTTCTATTTCAAATAAATGCTGTTCTTTTGAATTTTCTATTCATCAAATAATTAAAAGATTTGATTATGGTATCCACAAAAATATAAAGCAGCACAACGGTTTTCAACATTGATGATAATCATAAATGTAGCTTTGGCCTGTGGCCTCGTAAAATGACTAAATGTGTATTTTCAGACAGATCACTATTCTTCATTATAAGCACCCAAAATGCGACCAAACTGACCGATCACAGTGAAAACATGCAGTAATCACGGTCGATACCAGTCGACTTCCCTCTACGATCCTTCAATCGTCACACCTCGATTGGAAAAGAGTTTCCCCACCGCTAATTACGACACCGCAGCGGCCGTTTCGTAACTACGATCGCTCGGTGCCGGCACCGGCCGGACATTCAGCCGGCGGCCCCCGTGGGCCCCGCAGAGGGGGCTGGGAACGGGAAGGAGGGGGTACCAGCTGCCCGGGGAGCGCACATTACGAGATGGAGCCGGAGATAAGTGCTCTCCCAGGCCCCTTTTTCAGCTGCGTAATTAGCACAGTTCTTATCTGCTGCTCAATTCACATTCACACCAGCCATGAATGGAGCACACAGGCTCAGGCAGAAAGGGGGCTCTTTTCTCTCAGAAGAATCTTACGCGAATAAATGCCCCGGTTTGTCTTTTCTCTCCTCCACCCTTCTCGGCTTTGAACTCCCTTCGACAAAAACAGTGGTTTGTGCATCAAACTGTAATTTGGTGAAACAAAAGTATCTGGCACCATAATCAGTGCAATCAGCAAAAACCTGCTGATATTTCTAGATCATTTAGGGCTTTTATTCGCGTTTTCCCCCCCATCAGATGTAATTGTGAAAATCTTTAAGTGTGCACATAGATATGTGAAACCTTTAATAATAGGGCTCGCCTTGCGTTTCTTTAATTAGTTTTAATAGGCTAAAACAGACGGTAATGTCTCTCACAGAGGCCTGTATTCAGCAGAAGACTTCGCTATGTGAGATAACGGTGTGGTCGTTGCACAGCTGAATTATATAAACACATTTGTTTTATGTTGCAACACTGTCTGCTGTTCGCAAACCCACAATAAAGTGGCGCAAGTCATTACGGCGCTGCGCTACCTGCGAGGCTTAACAAAGCTCTCCTTTTACGCTTTTATCTCGCTATCTGAGCTTTCTGTAGACAGTACACAGAAATGTTTGACAATGTTTTGTCAACCGGACGAGCGCTTTGAGCGTGACAGGCTAGTGAAAGTTGAAGTCGGAGGTCGGTCGGGCGGGCCGTACCTGGCTCTTCGAGGCGGCGACCTTGGCGAACATGGCCTGGGACACTTTGGCCCTCTTCATCTCCTGCTGGATCTCGTCGTAGATGGAGGAGTTGATGTTTAACACACAGTTCTCCGATTTCCCGTTCCACTCTGAGGACAGAGGGCTGGGCTTCACCTGAGCAAAGAGGAAGAAAAAAGTTAGGCAGATGGATATACTTATTACATTTTTAATGCACCTGTCAAACAACATGGTACAAATAAACAAACAAACAAACAAATAAATAATTTTAAAAATAATAATAATATTATTAAGTTTATTAATAATAAACAGGCAGTAGTATAGATTTATTAATTTATGAATGAATGAAAGAAATGAATAAGTTTTTTTCAGCAAGGATGCATTAAAATGATCAAAAGTGAAAGTAAAGACCTTTATTTAGTCACAAAAGATTTCCATTTCAATGATTCATCAAAGAATCCCCCCCAAAATATGTATTGCAGTTCCCATAAAAATATGAAGCAGCACAACTGTTTTCAACATTGATAAGAAATAATAATAAGAAATGTGTCTTGAGCAGCAAATCAGCATACTAGAATGATTTCTGAAGGATCATGTGACACTGAAGACTGGAGGAATGATGCTGAAAATTCAGCTTTGCCTCACAGAAATAAATGAAATTTGAAAATATATTAAAATATAAAAGTTATTTTTAATATTTATTTTTAGCAAATAAAATGCAGCCTTAGTGAGCAAAAGAGACTTCATTCAAAAACTTTTGAACAGCATATATATGAAATAATAATTAAAAAAAAACAACTATCATTTTTAATAATAATTATTATTTTTCATATTTAAAAATGTTATACAATAAAACATATTATTATTACTATTATTATGCATTCCCATTTATTGTATTATTATTTTAGCTCATTTTTAAATAATATATATGTACATAGGTATATAATCAAGGACAAAATCATGCATCACTTTCTGCATAAACAATGTACCATATGTGCACTCACAGGAGAGATGCCCACTGGAATTCTGGGATTCCAGTCTTCTGGTCTCACACTGTTACACTCCTCTCTTCTGGGCTGTGAACACACACACATACACACACACACACACACATATGTAAAACAACTGGATAAAATAACACTTCATCAAATCTGATCAGAATATTTTAGTAACACATGATCAGATTTCTATCACCGCAGCACTGATTTCTACAGCAAAACGACTTGCAAACATGGCTATAACTTTTTTTTTTTAACATGAAGGGTCTCCAAACTGCCACCGCAGGACCGTTGAAGAGGCTGTCAGTGGCACCTACAGCAGTCATTTACATGTAAAGCATCAGTGTCTAGGCTGAGTTATTTTGTGACCATATCTAATTATAAAGGGATGAGCGTGCGCAAACTTGCACACACTGTCTGACGATCCATTAACGTATGTGGGAAACATACCTTCGCATCTGTTTTTATGGGCGTCATAAAAGCCTTGCAGCGCTGCAAGACGTGCCACCCTGCTGATTTACAGCAGAAAATATCCTGCGAACATCTCACTCATATCTGTCAGCATCAAGCTGCCATGCATCCAAAGACTTCCCTCTACCTGGGCCTGCTTTATCGCATATATTTTTATGCAAAAAGCCCAATGACGGACAAAGCGTTATCTTCGTTTATCTATCTATCGTTATGGTATGTTCAACAAAACACAACAAAGTTCATCTAAACATACATATAAACGCATCAAGTATTTGTAATAATATTTATAATATGATAATTTTTTTAATGCTTTTCACTGCCTAAGTAGAATTTTCCAAAGCAGTTACTAATGAGGCTCCATTTCAGTTAGGATGCTGCCTATGCAGCAAGGAAGCACACTATGTTTTGGAACACAGCCATTATATGTCAAGCAGTGCATCGATATTCCCTTTGATTCAAAATTTCAATTTATACAAATATCGTCAGATAATGGAGACTTTTGCCGAGCTCTGTACGAGACTGACGAATTAGGCGCAGTTGCTGAATAATCAGGTTACAGAACCATCTGATAATGGGATCTGAACAGGAAAGCAGCATCTGGTTTGCACACACACACACACACACACACACTAGGACATGATGCACGCAAGCGCACACACAAATGCATGCACACTTGAGTGAACACTGATGACATTTCGGTCTTTACACATTCTGTGTGTGTGAGGGAGTTTTTCTCCTGTATAAAAGAGCCCCATCAGTCCATCACACACAGGAAGGCTTTGTGTCCGATCCACTAAGACACACTCAACTGCGTTTGAAGGAGGCTCTGCATACCTTTCCGGCCCTGCTTGAAGAGTTCGGAGTGAAAGAAACGCTTCCTGAGATCTTTCCTGCACTAAACGTTTCCTCCAAAGTACAGATGCATTGATGTACTGACACTTTTACATTGGTAATCGACAATAACTGTGCAGAATTTTAATAATAAAGGTGGTGCATTTAATATTTGAATAAAAGCACCTGCTAAATGCATAACATTTGCAATGCATAAATGTAATATTTCAAGCTGCTGCTAAAACTACTATTAATAACAAACCATTTACAGGACAAATCAAACTTGTATCACAAGTTTATTTAAATGTAACGTTTAAATATGCAAAAGAGGCCTTATATAATTAAATATGCATTAATTGGCATAAGATTACAGAACAGAAATCTGAACATTGGATAAAGCCAGTTTCAAATTTGTTTTAATTTGTTGACATTAAAGGTGACATTTAAGTCAGCCAAAAAAAAAATGTTGGCAACAGCCAGAAAAAAAAAAACATTTTCACCATGTTTCTAGGCATAAAGTTTAAATGTGTACATTTTATGCCTAGAAATATAAATAAGAATATAATTGTAAAGTGAAGATTTCTGGCTCATTTTGAGAAAACAGCCTTTAAAGACATGTACTGTCATTAAAATTTACAGCCACAAATAGTTTAAATGTAATAAATAAACATTTAAAATGTATATTTTGGATGTTTTCTTTTCACTAGGCTTAAAGCGGTCATGCTACGCAAACCAAATAGACAAATAAACACATCTCAAAATTCACTAGTGCCTGAAAACAGACATAAAATGGTCTTGCTAGTAGTGTCTTGCATTTGAAGATACATTGTTTCCCTCTGTATCAATGCATCTGTATCCGACTGCATGTCAGTCATGATTTGTAAACACCGAGTTCAAATTGTGGGATTGTAATGGTGTCCTTGTGGTTGTGCGTTTGTATAAACCATCATGTGTGAGCTCCTGACCAACACATTACTATAAAGCACTGTCATTTAAAGCCACAGTGCATCATTTCTGGGCCACTGGCCACACCAAACACAACTGCAAAAAAAATGGCCTTTATCAAACAGGTTTCCCCAGTCTTCCATTGTTAGTACAATCTTAAACTCTTTTCTTGTGAGTAAAGCTGCTGTGAGTAATTCTGATATTAAAATGAAGTAATTTTTCCTGCCTCCTCAGGAATTTACGCATTCAATTCCAGTGTATGCAAAGAAAATACTCTGACGATGACTGATGAAAAACATACCTTAGCTAATCACTCATTATGATAGTGAGTGAGAGCATGCTAAATATTTGTGCTGAAACACAAATATGAGTGTTCAGTTCCACCTACATTTACATAAGTGAGAATACAGAATCTATTTAAATTCAACATGACCCCATTTACCTTGTTAATGCATGTTTGTGGTCTTACTGTGAATGAATTATCAGTGCAAGTTATTCAAAAAAAAAATGTAATCAGTATTTTTGCTTTGCCTTCCAGTAAAAATACACATCCTTAAATCAACATACATTTTCTTGAGAAGAAAATTGGAAAAATATAAACAAGACAGAAATAAGAGAGATACTATTTAAGTCTGTCAGATTGATGCATAAAGCTAGAAAAAAAACATTTGCCCACAGAGTAAGGAAAATCAGCTTAATTCAAGATATATTCTCTCTGTCTTTGATTAGTAAAATGTATCCCAATAAATGTATTTTGTTTTAAGGATGTATTTTACATTTATATTTTGTATATTTGAAATTTTCATGTTTTAAATGAGACTTTATTTGTATATTTTCTGTTTTAATTTTAGTTAATATTGTTTTGTTTTTTGTGTGTCTGTCACTTTTATTTTCTAAAAAAATAAGACAGAGAACCCATTTAAATCTGTTAGATTTATGCATAAAACAAGGGGGAAAAAACATTTGGCAACAGAGTAAGAAAACTTTATTTAGACTTTATTTTCATAATTTGTTTAGATTTTTTGTTAAAGTTTTAGCAGTTTTGTTAATTAGTTTTGAGTTTTTCTAAGAGCAATAACTTATTTAAGATTTAACCATAAAACATAAACGTTCAAACAGAGTAAGAATTATTATTTTTTTTTTTTAATTTTTATAAAATTATAAATAAACAAGACAGAGGACCTATTTAAATCTGTTAGATTTATGCATAAAACAACAAAAAAATACGCCAGTGGAGTATCTGGAGTATCTGTCTTTGATAAGTAACATTTATCCAAATAAACTGATCTCATTTTAAGGATGCATAGATATTTTAACTGGAAAACAACACAAAAATACAAAAGAAAAACAACTAGTTTTTGCCTTGCATCAAGGGTTACAACCCTACAGCTCACATTTTACTCTGCAAAGTACAAAAAAGTTGACCTCTCAACACCCATTCAAGTGTGATTGTGAGCGTGTGTTACCTGTACAGGGCGTGTGGGAGGGGTGCTGATGAGGGGCGCGGGGCCCATAGCAGAGGCCGCGGTCAAGCTGCGCTCCCTCTCATCCTGGTAGATGCGATCGCGCTCCACTTCCGGTAACTGCAGGAAGTTCTGCATCGCTCGCAGGTTGACCAGGAGCGACTGAGACGCTATCTTGGGGTCTTCCTCTTTTCTAAGAATCTCAGACAGAAGGCCCTGTGAGAGACACAGAAATACATGCATCGGCCTCTTAGCAAAGAGCAATCAGTTCAAGTGCAACAATTAAAACATTCTCTCCACTCCATCTGTGACAAAGCAATTGACCTGTCGATAAGCTCCGCCCACTTGAATATCCCATAGAAATTAACTGGATATTTCTGTTAAAAGTGTTTTTCAGTAAAATATGCTCATGCAGTGCTAATAATGTAATGGATATTATAACATTACAAAGCCTTTCTTTAAAAAGAAGTTCAATTATACCGCAATGTCATTAAAACATTAGCAAAAAATATTTTTAAAAATAAACAGCATAATAGTTTTCACCATTAATAATCAGAAATGTTTCTTAAAGCAGCAAATCAGCATATTAGCATGATTTCTGAAGGATCATGTGACACTGAAGACTGGAGTAATGATGCTGAAAATTCTACATTGCATCACAGGAATAAATTACATTTTAAAATATATTCAATCCGAAAACACTTATTTTAAACTGTAATAATATTTCAAAATTTTAGTGCATTTTTTATCAAATAAATCTGACTTTCAAAACCACTAAAAAATATTACCGACCCAAATCTTTGATCAGTAGTGTACATTAGAAAAGAGAAAAAGCTAGCCTGAAAATCTGGTAGACGGCAACAGTTGCTAGGCTAGGATTAGTCAGTTACACTTTCAGTCAAATACTATCAAACACCATCAAGGTTGATGCACTTTGCATAATAAAGTCTAAAAATGGGCCACCAAACCCACAATCGTTTTGACTCTGAGACGCCACGGCATGCCATCACAAGCAGCCATCATTCACGTTTGGGGGAAGAATGTACAATAAATATTTAAGGGCTCTGTGGAAACAAAAAAAAAGCAGGTTGCAAATTCTTCCCAGTGCAACTAAATGCCAATTTGTGCAAACACGCCTGTCATGACGCGGCCCCTGATTCCTATAGATTCCTATCGCTCTAACACAACATCAAAGTCACTTCCTGCCAAACGGGGGTTTTATGCAGAACGTCGCGAGACATTATCTTCCCGCTGTCTCCAGCAACAGTCGCTCATGTGTGCTGCGGTGACAGTCCGCGGCCGAGCCAGCCCCCACCCCCCACCACTGGCACACGGCCAGGTACGTCTCTCTTTGTCTCACCTGATGATGGCAGACAGTCGTCAAGGCGGGGCTGTACTAATAACAACTAGTGAAAAATCCGCACAATGCTGAGTTTGTCTGACAACTTTCCCTGTATTTGCAAGTGTGTTTGGGTGCTTTCATGTATTGATACAGGGACAGAGTATTGTGATATTTTACTTCACAATATGGTACAGATATTATCACTGCCAAAACTTTTTTCCACCAGTGTAATTTTAATATCACTGATAAACTATTATAAGTTGTTAACATTTTTATGTCGATTTTTTTTATGTTTTAATTTAAAATTTTAGTTACATTTTTTGTAATTTTGTGTAATTTTTTGTCATATCAGTTTTTCTTCTTTCTTTTTTTTTTAAATGCTTGTATAGCATTTATGAAGTTTTAGTTTTTTGCTTTAGTCTTTTAGTATTATTTTAGTATTTTAACTTAAATTAAATGAAAATGAGAAATGCTGCCTTGGCAACTAGCTGAAATAAAATAATTTTTTATACTTTTTTTTCCAAGTAATGAACTGTTTTTAGGGTTTTGGTTTTAGGAAACAATAATAACCCTAGTTTGCGCAATAATATTTTGAGGAAAAAGTACAGTGACATACAAAATCCAAACTCAAACTGAGTTAAAATTGTAGTTTGGGGCCAATAAGATTTTCTTTTGAAAGAAATTAATCCTTTTATTTTGCAAGTATGCAATAAATTGATCAAAAGTGACAGTAAACGCATTTACACTGTTAGAAAAAATTATATTTCAAATAAGCACTGCTTTTAACTTTCTATTCATGAAAGAATAAATGCATAAATAGAAAAGTTAGTTTAAATTGTAATTTCACAATATTAATGTTTTTACTGTATTTTGTCTTGCTGAGTATTAGAGACTTCTTTAAAAAAAAAAAAAATCTGACCCTAATTGTATGAAAATGTGTAATAACTAAACAAGAAAAACATCGTAATATTAACCTATCATGAACCAGATATTAATAAATTATCCCTGATGATTTCCACTAGTAGCAGTAGACTCATATATTCATCAGGCAATAATCTGTGGTAATTTTGCCTAGCATCAGATTTAAAAAAATCAGTTTTCAAATAATTTATAGTGAATTCTCAAATACTTTCAAAAGTGTATTTTGCCTATTGAGTGAAATGTGCACACCTCACTCAAATGTGCACAATTTGAGGTATCATTCATGCACAATAACGCAGGACAAGCAGTGAGAAATGAGTTTTTGGTTGGAAAATGTAATAGTTTGAATGAGCAATAATAATAGTGATGTCTGCCTTAGCTCACACCGCTAATAAGTGTCCTGTCCCAGCTCAGTGCTGACAACAGATTGCATGCAGTGACGAAAAACAAGGTCAAAGCCATGGGTGTGCGAACTCAAAGACGTGAGTCAGTGATCAGTTACTCCTGCCAGGAAGTTTCTGATTGAAGAATGAGATGCAAGAATGAGATAGAAGTGCTCACTCGCTCTTTGTCCTGACATTTACTGGACGATTGGGTTCTTTGTGTTGATCCCTAAATAAAAGCAGATAAAGCATCTAACTGTGTGTGTTCTGTTGTCACTATATTAGCAAGGCATGGTTGAATTTTAATGATGTACAGAGCGTGTAGTGGCAAGCATCACACGAACATGTCACAGCTGATGCATGGGGCTGGGGCGGAGCTGGAGATATGATTCAGCATTTATAATCGTCAACAAAATAATCTACAAAAACAACATTCTTAATGGGTCTGCTCCAAAACCTAGCAAGCTGCCTTACTGGACACCACCTACATAGAGAGCTGACAGCATCCTAACTGATATAAAACACAGATCTGGATCGCTCTACGGTACATGCTTGGGCTGCACGAAACATCAAAATAAAATCACTTTAAATAAATATGCGCTTTCAGAGCGAAGCGCAGCACCGTGTTCATTTACACGCGTGCAGCTGGTTATCTGGTGTTTTCACAGTAAATGCTCCACTTCTGCAAGTGCTGTGAGTTTGGGTCTCCTTTGGAAGCGCCACCCATTTTACTAGATTAGAATGAAAATCGTGTATAAACCGGACGCCAACAAAGCAGCAGCTTTAAGAGCTCCCTTTCCGCCAAAATAAAAGCTCTATAGATTAAAATTAGAAAATAAAGACAATAAGTGTAAATAATAGTGTTATTGTAGTGTAAAAATATTATTATATAATTATTTTCATTAAATACTCACATTTATTTTTAAATATTACAAATAAAAATACTTTTATTTTAATTTAAATGTTTTTATTAAATAAATCATATAAGTAAAATAAATATTATTTTTATTGTAAGAAACAGTAGGAATATGGCCTATGATAACTTAAGTGTAAAGACTGTTTTTGTTTTTTTTATTTGTTTTAACTCTTTCACAATACGGTTACTGAAAGACATTTGATTTGGTTCTTAAAATGCATATTCACACGTTTTTTCAAAATTGTTCAGGTTGGTTTTCCCTCAAAAATCTTCAGAATAAATCATTCTTGAAAGATTCTAGTAATAATCTGGTGAAAATTCCAATATAAATCCCACTATTTACATTACAGAAAAACTAATTATTGCACTCAGTTCTTCTTATTTCAGACTAATCAATATTTTCCAGTATTGAAGACTTTTGTCCACCATTTTGGATTGACATCTTCTACTCTGCTTATTGCAGTGCATTATGGGATTGTCCAAGAGATGATATCTTAGAAATCAGCATGATGCCGCAAACCTTTAGGAACAAGTTTAGCATTGCAAGTACACTATGACACCTTGAACTGCTTCCTATGTATAAGACTTATACATAGAAAAAAAAACCTTACCAGCCTCAATCATTTGACAATTTTTATAACTAAACAAATAAATAAATAACTAAAGAAAAAGCATCAAATTAATATGTAGGCAGCTATTTTGTGATAATCTTCGCCCCATGTTTATCTTTTATCTCAAAAGGCACTTTTATTCCAAATATATGATATCTTATAATCCAAATATTCATACCTGCGTCCTGTTGAAGGCCACACGGGCGAACACGGCCTGGGAGATTCCCGCCCTCTTCAGCTCGTCTCTGACCCACTGGTAGATCTCCAATGAGACCTCAGAGTTGGTGGACAGCTGCGCGTCCAGCGGTTTGTTGAGCGCGCGGCTGACGGGGGGGTGGTTGAGGTACTGCTGGCTCAGGGACTGCTGGGCCAGGAGACGGTTGACGGCGTACTGCTGGTTGAGGATCTGAGCCATGACGATCTGCTGATTCACCAGCTGAGGGCTGATGGGGGTAGACACCAGGCCGGGGTGCAGGCCGGGGAGCTGAGCGCGGCCGGGGGCCTGACTGCTGTGGGACAGGGGCACCGGGGACGGGGACTGCTCGGCCGTGCTGCCCGGGATGGGCTGCTGACTGAAGCTGAGGTGGTTGGTTCCGGGTGGAGAAAGATCAGACAGACTGTCCATCTCAGCTATAGGTGGACACAAAGAAGATGAAGCATGTTAATAAACAGGGTTTGGCTTGCCTCAATAAAAGCTGCTGATGATGTTAGTCTAAACAAAAGCTCAGTTTTCAAAAAATAATAAATAATATATATAAAAAATACAGAAACTATCACTTAACTGGACAAATGGGCATGTCAATATTTTCTAAATGAGCGATGAATTGCCTTATCACTACTCTATGATGAACAGAAGTCATCCCAAAACACATCAATATCAAATAGCAAACACTTTCATAACAAGCTGGACATGACCTGAAGTCAAAAAGCAAATGCTTTAAGATAAAAAACACTAATCAAGCCCGTTCCAGCCTGCCATTACTACAGTAACCCAGTACAACCTCTCTAATATAATGGGGCACAGTGTGTGACCTGTATCTGCATAAATTGGCAGCACTAGAAATTAGTTTATAATGTCCATGGCCAAATCATGTGAGCAATAACAGCAAGCCAGTGTGGGTGCTATGCTAAAGCAGCGAGCAGGACGTCTTCACATGGACCGAGCCAGAGAGCCATACACTTGAATCGTCCTTTATGCTCTTAATTCTAAAACAAGGTACACAAGCTGGCTAATATGAAATTTTGGGAAAGTCTAAATATAACCGTGTTGCGCTGGAAGCCCAGAGCACGGCCTTTAAAACAGGCCAGACCGAGCGGATTGAAAATATGGCAACTTTGATGCCATTAAATGATTTTGATTCTTTTAAATCGATAAGTTTAGTGTTTAGCGGCTAATAGGCTTGAAAATCTGAACATTAAAAAGTGTTTATGAATGTATGAGTTTTTAACGAAATAATTCTAAACCCATAATCGGTCACTTTTCTGAAAGACGGACTACTTTTAGTGTGCTTTTTTGTCCATTTCACAGCTTATTGCAGCCTCTTGACAGATGTGGTCACTATGAATATCGAAAAGAGCTGGATGAAGATTTATAAAAATTTCTCTTTTTGTGTTGCATGGAACAAATAACAGCATACAGATTTGGAACAATGTAAAGGTGAGTAAATATAGCAAACCAATCCTTTAAAGGATTAAAGCCTTGTGCTTTCTTGAAACACAGGTATTCAGTTGAAAGATATTATTTAAAAAAAAAGAGAGAAATACAATGCCCATCACCTACTATCATGCTCTTACAGATTTTATGGAGTGCAAAAAAAGCATTATGGCAAATCATCAAAATATAAATATTTCAACAAGAAGATAAAAACCAGATTAAGCGCATGGAAACTCTCCAGAGATATATATGCACAATAAGCACAAGGACGCAAACATGTGTCTTAACTGACAGCGAGCACAAAGCCGCGGCTGTTCTTTTCAATATCAGCAGAGAGTGAGAGGGAAAGAAAAAAAAACAAACAAAAAAATTGGGTAATAATCAAAGCTCTCCCATAATCCCCCTCATGTTACGGTGTGCCTCTCAGTTGTCTTTTTGGTGTTGAAAACTGCTGGGGGGCACACGCTTTTCCATGCAAATTGAAAAGGTTGGAAGAAAGCATCCGCGGGCCCCGTTTGCGCGTATATAAAAAAAAAAAAAAAAATGCATTTCATGGCTCTTTCTTACCTGGCCACGGAGTACATGAAAAGGAAGTCATTGTCAGGTGACCCTGGGTTCTTCCCATAATCCATGTATTTTTTCTGCGTGGTGTTTTTAATGTCCTTTATAACAGATTCCATCTCTTTACTCAGATTTGACTCCACCTGGGAGGGAAAAAAAAAAAAAAAAAAAAAAAATTGGGTAATAATCAAAGCTCTCCCATAATCCCCCTCATGTTACGGTGTGCCTCTCAGTTGTCTTTTTGGTGTTGAAAACTGCTGGGGGGCACACGCTTTTCCATGCAAATTGAAAAGGTTGGAAGAAAGCATCCGCGGGCCCCGTTTGCAGCGGCGGCGACACAGACAGAGAACCGGAGTCCCTCCTGTGGAATTCGCCACAAAGCAGGCTGGGATTAGGAGCACAATGGAAGAGAGAATGTGGGCTGAGGGGAGGGAGGTAAAACCCCACGGCACGGCGGGCGCTCGCTCTCCAGCCCGGCTGCGTTTCAATAGGAGCGCTGCTGCGCTAGAGACGGCTCGCCACACTCTGCAAGATCTCTTGCGAGACCGGCCTCTCGCTGACCACTTGCGAAACGCAACTCACTGCGCACCACTTACAATAGGGAGTGCATTCAATACATGCACTGTATCATTCACAGCGTTCTTTGGGAGTTGGGAACCCATAACCTTGGCATAACTACGCCGTAGCTTTGCATTCCTGCAGTTTAGACAATAAAGCAATGCCAAGGTCATGGGTTCGATTCCCAGGGAATGCATGAACTGATTAAATGTATAACCTGAATGCAATATAAGTCGCTTTGGATAAAAGTCAAGTCAAATGTATTTATGTAGAGCTTCATACAGTACACACTGTTTCAAAACAGCATCACAGCAATACACGGGAAAATAACAGCCTTAAAAAGGGATAGTTCACCCAAAAAAATCATCATTTACTCACCCTCATGTTGTGTTTTTCTGTCGAGCACAAAAGATGATATTTTGAATAATATTAGTAACCAAACAGTTATTAGTAGCCATTGACTTCCATAGTAGGAAAAAAATACTATGGAGGTCAATGGCTACCAGCAACTGTTTGGTTACCAACATTCTTCAGAATGTTTTCTTCAGTGTTCAACAGAAGAAGGAAACTCGTACAGGTTTGGAACAACATGAGGGTGAGTAAATGATGACAGTTTTGATTTTTGGGCGAACTATGGATTCTTTAATAATGCAAAATTCTTCAATTTCAGTTATGAAGCAGTGTAATTATTCAGATCAATTTAGTTCAAGACGACAACTAAATTTATGAAAGCATCTGCCAAATGCATAAAAGCAGATTCCCCGTAACATCCCAGCTACAAGCCCCGCCCATAATAAAATTTGAATGGCTTAAAATCCTGCTGCACATAATTTTATATTAAACATCAAACATGTTCTGATTGGCTGTGATTTTTAGAAAAGCATTTTTTGCATTCAGTGTGGACAGATATATTTCTTATAGCTAGAAACTTGCTTGATTAGGACAAAATGAAACCAAAAAAAAAAGAAACCTTTCAAAATAAGGCAATTTGCAATTGCAAAATAAGTATATATGATACACATATGCAAGTTTATACACCCGGACACATACAGTACAGTCACTTAAAGAGTTATATCACTGTATAACAAATCTCAAAAGCTTGATTGTCTTTATTATGGCAAAATGTAAACTATATTATCGCCCAGCGTTACATAAAAGCTTGTATGATTGTTTATATCATCACAAAATTAACTATATTATTGCCCATATATATATATATATATATATATATATATATATATATTTACATACATATATATCAAAATAGCAGATGTATGTAAAATGTCAAAATAAGTCTCAACTGCTTATATCATTCCAAAATGTAAACTATATTATCACCCAGCTCTAATCTGCTAAAGCGACTATAAAGCATGAAGCCATTTAAATATTATAAACATTAATATGATTTTCTGTAAAGCTGCTTTGAACAATGTGTATTGTAAAAAGTGCTATACAAACAAATTTGATTTGACTTGGCAGACATTTAGTGTCATAACAAAAGACCAAATTGTTTGTTGGGTTTGTACATTGTGTGTAAGTTTTTATCATGGCAGACTGCGTCATCTGACGCTAATCGTCTTGCTCACGTGGCTCTCGGCCTGCCGTGACTTTTTAAACACAGAGTTACGGTGTCGCCGCCGTCAGAATGTGAGCACATTCGCTCGTGAATAATAAGGTTGGGGAGGGTTTGCGATGCGTCATGTGACCTACCTAACGTGGTGGCACGTGGACTGTCGTGGAGGACACACGTCCCCAGGTAGCCCTCCAGCTGGGAGGGCTGGCGCACGACTGCGCAGACGAACACACAAACACACATTCACAGGTGTGGAGAGAGAAAGAGAGAGTGTTAGTGGGGGTAAAAGTGAACGTGTGAACAGGAAACAAGAGGCAGATGTCAAGAGCTGCAGCATAACAACCTGACTGACTGACTGACAGGTGCGTGTTTGAACACTTGAAAAGCTAAAAATCACAGTGCTGTTGATTATTATTTGCATGGCAACGACGGAATTTAAGTCAAAAAGGCTTTTTGTCTTAAACATAGATCTATATTTGACAGGTTTTGTTAGATTTGCATTTTAACTGAATCTAAAGAATAAACAAATGAGGCATATTAAAAATGAGTAGACAAGGAAAAGACTAGATAGACAGTCAGGCAGATATACACAGACATATAAAGAGACAGACAGACAGGCAAACAAATAGTCAATAGATACACAGACATAAAATGGACAGATAGAGAGACAGACAGATCAATCAACAGAGAGATAAATAGTCAAATGAATAGTCAGTGAAGCAAATATAGGTAGACAAAGATATAGACAGAGAGACAGACAGCGAGACAGATAGACAGATATACACATATAGACAGAGACAGACAGATCGATTGACAGATAGATAGACAGGCAGATACAGACAGACAGAGAGACAGTCAGATAGACAGATAGGGAGCTATGGACAGAGAGATGGATAGCGAGCTATAGACAGATAGTCAGACAGACAGACAGGGAACTATAGACGGATAGATAGACAGAGAGACAGTCAGATAGACAGACAGATAGACACAGAGACAGTCAGATAGACAGATAGGGATCTACAGACAGATAGACAAATAGATAGATAGACAAAAAGATAGATAGATAGATAGATAGATAGATACATAGATAGATAGACAGACAGACAGATCAATCAACAGAGAAATAAATAGTCAAATGAATAGTCAGTGAAGCAAATATAGGTAGACAAAGACATAGACAGAGAGACAGACAGCGAGACAGATAGACAGATATACACATATAGACAGAGAGACAGACAGATCGATCGATAGACAAATAGTCAGATAGATAGACAGGCAGATACAGACAGACAGAGAGACAGTCAGATAGACAGATAGGGAGCAATAGATAGATAGATAGATAGATAGACAGACAGACAGACAGAGAGACAGACAGGGAGCTATAGACAGATAGACAAACAGATAGATAGATAGATAGACAGACAGACAGACAGAGAGACAGACAGGGAGCTATAGACAGATAGACAATGGCTCATGTTTCCGTCTGTTGGTCCTGCAGGAGGCGCCGCTGCTCCGCGCTCGATAGATAGACAGACAGACAGACAGACAGACAGACAGACAGACAGACAGACAGATCTCTTTCTTTAGATAGATGTGATTATAATTAATTTTCATTTAGCATTCTGCTTACCTATCATGTCTTTTGTCTTCTTGAAATGTTTATACCAGCGTCCGAATTCTTGACACTTTGCCGCAGACACATTTGCATAGTAAGTGCTGTTAACAATTGAAGAAATCATACTCTGCAAGACAAAATTGTATGCGCTTTTAAAAATGTATGTTTACTCACAGTACAATAACAAAGTCTGTCAAGAAATCCTGTACTACGCACAACTCAGCATTATATGTATCACAGTGTCATATCTTGATCCAAAAAAACATATGCAATGCGATTCATGCACAATTTTTTTCTGCAGTAATATAAACTAAAAAAAATACATGTCCCTTTAACAAATGCCACAGAGTATGAAAGCGGAAGCATCCAGGAGGCTCTGTGAGGCAGACAGCAAAGCAGATGATGCTTTGGGGATTTCTGCCCTATATGAATGCAACTCATATTCGCAATCTGTTTTCACAGCCGGAGTTGCATGTTGAGACCACACAACGAGTTCATGTCTCCTCGCTGCCCTAACAGCACGCTTCCTATTCACCTCCTCTGCTTTTTTCTTCTTCTATTTTAATACATTCCACTCCAAAAAAAAAAAAAAAGGTGAGATTCTTTTTCATTAAACC